TCAAGTAACACTAAATTTTTTCTGAATCATGTATATGCTTTTGGTCTATAAGAAGAATTAAGGTAATAAATGAAATCACGTCAAATGGCCTAAAATAAAAATCACATCAGAATATTTAACATTTCTAACTAGGCCATCAGTATTATGAATTTCACGATCCGACTAATAGATTCACGATGGCTGTTCACTATATGAAAATCATATTTTCAGAAGAGATAGGGCTTTTTGAGAGAGTGTATGGTTGTGGTTGTGGGTGTGGGTGGGTGCAGTTGGGTGGATGTCGCGGTTCCCTGAGTTCACCCCGACACCAACACCAATACTTACATCTACATTCACGATCCACACCCACACCCTCATTCAGCTTCAGAGAACTAGACACGAAAGATAAATAATGTTTTCTTGTCTGTTTCTAGAACACCACATCTGTAAAGTCATCGATTATGACTACCACTTCAATGTCAAATGTTTTCTTTTTTGGCCTTCCTGTTGAACTTGTCTATCGCATATTTGATTATTGCGATATTGACACTATTCTTCATTCGATTCGTCCGATCTGCCGACAGATGTATGCCATAGTCAACACTTATGATCGCTACAAACTCATTTTGGATTTACAATTATTCGATAACATAACAACACTTGTTCGTTTCATTCAACCTGATAGTGTCATTTCATTAACAATATGTCGTAACTGTTGGATCGATGAGTCGATTTACCGGCTTACTTCGCTATTTCATCGTCGTCGATCAGATAACAAACGTAGTCGAGTAAATCGAATATATTTGCCATTCGGTGGTCATCAATTTACTCGACTACATTCGCTGAATCTTTACCAAATAAAGGATGAAGACTTGGAACATCTCTTCGAAAACTTGAGTACCGACTTTTTGGTCTCTCTTTCAATAGAGTCAAGTGAAGGATGGAATAGTAGAGCGTGGATTCTCGTCTCATCAGTATTCAGTCGATGGAACCTTCAAAAATTATGCGTCAGTAATGTGCCCTTTACGACAAACGTAGTGTGGCCTGATCCATACAGATTAAAGCACTTGATAATCGCCACTTGTAACTACAGCGACTATCTGATTATTCTTCGTCGACTACCACTTTTACAAACTCTTGTTATGCAAGACTGCACAATGGATGATAGAAGTAATACGCTAGTTTCCTCCACAACGTCTACATATCATTCCTCACTGAAGTCTTTGATCATCACTGCCTGTTCACTTGCTACACAAAATTTCGAACTGCTACTTTCATCAATATCTTCACTTCGCTATCTGAAACTTATTTCTAAGAGGCAGAAGCTTGATTCTCTATTCGATGCTTCTTATTGGCATCAACTCGTTCGAATTAAGCTGTCTAAATTAGATAAACTTGAATTCATCTGCTCTTATCAATATAGTGAAAGCGACAGTTTCATTAGTCTCGAGACACTCATCATTCCATTTCGAACTCAATTTTGGGTTCATATCAAAGGTTGGTTTGTAGCTTGTGCATACATTCCATGGTCACGTGAGATCTGTGTTTATACAACATCTATAAATGTCATTCACAACGCATCACAAGCAAGATGTGAAATATCGTGGATGGGCAATATATGTCATCTGACTCAACGATCCGTAGACACAATGGTTGTTAACACTTCAGATGAGGTATGTGACAAATTCTATTTGAAATCAGGAACAATCTTCGTATGAGAATTTGGCATTACGAGTACAGCAAAAATAGCTTTTGGCAAATGAGAATTTCGTATATAATTTCTTCAGAAGATGTGTTCAATGCCATCAGAGCACAGATATCAATTATGAATGTTTGTACTTTTAAATGAGGTCAAGGATGCAAGAATTTAACTTATTTTATCTTCGAAGAAACGACACAGATATCTGGTATCCCCCCCTGCAGCACAATACGTTTTATCCGAAACGGCGACAGCAGTGTCCAAGGACTGAGAAATAGGAATTCATAATCTGTCGAGGAATTGTCAGTGCCGCTCTAATAATTCCTAGAGGAAATGGGAATCGACCATTGGTTCCCTCACAATTCTACCATTCACGAAAGTTCCGATATTGCTTTTTCAAAAAGAATTTGTGCGCGGAACTATTGATTCTCACGATTTTGCAGGTGAAAATGAGTGTAAGAGCAAAAATGATCGTGAATATTCCGTATTTGTACCTTTGGTATGCAAGGAATTGTAGGGGAACTGAGAAGGAATTCCTAATTCTCAGTCCTTGGACACCTCTCAAAAATTTCGGAATTTTGTAAGAGAATACGAGTAAGACAAAAAAAGGAAACATTCATCAAAAGAACCCGTGAAATAATCTGTTGTGAGTTTATCAAGAATCATCACTGCATTGATGTCAAGACAAAATATCCGAATACTTTGGAGGCAGAAAAACAAGACTTTATCCGCTCATATCTTTTTAAAATGTATATACTCGAGTACGAGTTCTTCCAGTATTTTCTTCCGCTCTGAATTGTATCGTATATTACCTGAAGATTTGTTTTAGCCCCCTTCTGAGATTCTGCAGAATCACCTCAAGGATCACACACCATATCGGTGAATTCTCTTTGATAATTGATCTAGATCATAGTAACAGCTGTTTCTCAGCTATACGTCGTCAGTGGAGCTTTTCCAACCGACCATGAAGCGATTGCTGCTTTCCATATATCACACAAATCGATTCTATTCTTAATTAAATGCTCTTTAAAACTCGTTGGACACTCAAGAACGTGGGTGTGAGCGTGGAGGTGGATGTAGGCGTGGACAAGGATGAAGGAAAGATATCCAAACAACAACCATCACCTCACATTTACACCGTAATATTCTTCATATTTCCATTTACACTTTTTTTTACATAGACACTCACCGAACTTCATATCGAATACAGAGAAATCAGAGCTGTTGGTGCGCAACATCTAGGTGATGCATTACGGCATAACACGGTAACCCTCACTCATTCATCATCTTTTTTCGATCTTCATTTACACTTTTCAAACAGATTCTCGTCAATTTAAATCTCAGAGGCAATAAAATCGGTGACACAGGAACACACTATTTAGCCGATGCATTACGGCATAACACAGTAATCCTGATTCTCTCATCATGTCTTTCATATTTTAATCTACATTTTTTTATACAGGCACTCACTATACTAGATCTTGGATACAATGAAATCGGACCGCTTGGAGCACAACACCTGGCTGACCCATTACGATATAACACGGTGATTCTAATTCTTCGTTCATTTCTCTCGTAACTTCATCTATACTTTTCATACAGACACTCACCATAGTTACTCTATGGAGCAATCAGATTGGAGCTCTTGGAGCACATTACTTAGCTGATGCATTACAAAACAACATGGTGATCCTGATTTCTTTTTCATATTTTCTATATCTTCATTTATACTTTGTTGTACAGGCACTCAAAAAACTAGGTGTTGAAGACAACCAACTTGGTGACGAAGGAGCACAACATCTGATTGCAATACGAAATAATACAGTAATCCTGATTTTCATTTCATTTCTATCCTGTCTTCATCTGCATTTTCTCAAACAGACGCTCATCAGTCTCAATTTGAAAAACAATCAAATCGGAGACAAAGAAGCAAAACATCTAGCCGATGCGCTGCGATATAACATAGTAATCCTAATTTTCTCATCATGTCTCCTATATTTTAATCTACAGTTTCTTTTATGCAGACAATCACTACACTAGATCTTGAAGACAATCAAATTAGAGACAATGGAGCAGAACATCTAGCTGATACATTACGACATAATATGGTTATCTTTTTTCTCTCATCGTTTCTCATCTTCATTAACATTTTTTTTCAAACAGATTCTCGTTCACCTAAATCTCAGACGCAATAAAATTCGAGACAAAGGAGCACAATATCTAGCCGATGCATTACGACATAACACAGTAACCCTGATCTTCTCATCATGTTTCTTATATTTTAATCTTCATCTTCTTTTATACAGGCACTCACTACACTAGATCTTGAAGACAATCAAATCAAAGACAAAGGAGCACAACATCTAGCTGATGCATTACGACATAATACAGTAGCTCTCATTCTCTCATTATCTTTTCTCGATCTTCATTTACTTCTTTTTTTCAAACAGATTCTCGTTCACTTATATCTCAGAGGCAATAAAATTGGAGACAAAGGGGCACTGTATCTAGCCGAGGCACTGCGACATAACACAGTAATCCTGATTTTCTCATCATGTCTCTCATAAATTAATCTACATATTGTATACAGGCACTCACTGAACTAGATCTTGGATACAATTATATTGGACCTGTTCGAGAACAATACCTGACTAACGCATTAGAAAATAACATGGTAACCATCACATTTGCTTTCACTCTCATATTGCTGTCTTCATTTTTTGTCACAGACACTCATCAAACTTGATCTCGAATACTATGATAGATAACCTTGAAGTACGTTTGTAGGCGTTGGTCAAGCGCAGCAAGCAGCGAACAAGATTGGGAACATAATTTTGAAGTGGATTTCATAGAGATTCGAGTTTTCTAACAGAATGTGTTATTTGCTTTCGTTTCATCTTCTTTTCTTTGTAAAAAAGAAAGGCTTGCTCGTTTTGATTTGACGTGCTTGTTATTGCAGAAAAAAAGCTAGTTTTATTCTATTGGAAGAGGTGGATGTGGGTCTGGGTGTGTGAGAGTGTGGGTGTGGGTGTGGGTGTGAGTGGGTGTGGGTGCGGGATGTGGGTGTGAGTAAAGAAAACTACAATACACCCACACCCACACCCATACCCTCAGTTGAATTTAGATACTAAACTTACCTGATGATGATCTTTAAGCAAGGTCGAAACCGGTCGTAAGTATCGCTTATGTATCTAAATAAAAACTCTTGAGTTTCTGTGCACACCCACAGCCGCACCCACCCATGCTTACTTCTTCAACATTCTAAATCTCAATCAATTTTTAAGTCGTCTAGGTATTGTCTAAAAATATAATTTAGATCCTACTAAGACTTGTGTATGGTCGATCCTCTATTCTTCATGTCGTTTAGTTTTTGGGTGACAAAGTTTATTTCGTCTTGAGTTATCTCGATTTGTTGATGATCAGATGGCGATGCTTGTTTTCGGATGTCAAGTGCTTGCCGTAAATAATCGAGCGCAATTTCACATTGGCCTAACTCGGAGTAGACAAGAGCGATATTAAACAATGATATGGCTATTTTGGGATGGTTTAGTGCGTGGACTTCGCGGCGAATTGTCAACGCTCGAAAATGATAGTGCAGAGCTTTGTCGAACTGGTACTGGTAATAAAAGAGCAAGCCTATATTGTTATAACTCATCGCTAGATCGGGATCCTTTTTGCGAGAGAAGAGTCGTAGACGTATTCGTAGAGCTTCTTGATGATATTTGGTTGCTTGAATAAAGTTTTCTTGTTTGGAGAAATATTCACCAATATTATTTAAGTACATTGCTCTTGCGCGCTGTGCTGCGGGAGATGTGCCATCGCTATATTTCAAAGCTCTAAAAAAGTGTGCGCATGCTTCATCAGGTCTGCCCAATGCCTCTAGAACATTAGCAAGATTGTTATACGACTCGGCAATATTCGGATGGTTGACTAGTAGAGCGGCAAGCCTAACGTCAAGTGCTTTCTGAAACATAACCAATGCATCATCGAGTTCACCTAATTTTTCTAGCGTTGAGCCAAAATTATTGTATATATCAGCAAATTGCGGGTATCGTGCTGGTAATGAACGTTCACTAATAGCTAGAGCCTCTTTGTAGAACGTAAGAGCATGTTCATACTGGCCCTGCTCGAAATGTACAAGTCCGATATTATTTAACGTCGTAGCATGATCAAAATGATCGGAAGAGCCCAAAGAAACGCTCTGTATCGAACGAGCTTTCTCATAGTACCTAAGAGCTTGGGGAAAATCATGACAATGAAAATAGGTTAATCCAAGATTGTTGTATGACAGTCCGATGTACTTATCATTGTCAGGCAAGAGACGAAGGCGAATTTCGAGTGATTTTTTATTATAATGTATTGCTTGTTCTAATTCTTCTCTCATGTCATGCAATAATGCAATATTCGAATAAGTTTCAGCTAGATCGAGTGTTTCTGTTGACTGTTGAAAACGTAAAGCTTTCTGAAAATATCTCATTGCCACACGAAAGTCACCTTTTTCTAGGGCAATCAATCCTATATTGTTGCAAACTTTGCCGATGAGTTTACGATCAGACGATAATTCTTTTAACATCATTCGATAGTATCGATCAGCACGGCCATAATCGCCCATTTTCCAAAGAAACTCACCCAGCATGAGTACTGGTGGTATTTGATCTTCATCAATTTCTTTTTTAAAATGACTAACCAAATCTGTTAAATTTTGTTCATTGTTGTTGCTTAAAGTAAGATGAATTATCGAAATGCTACCACAGTTCTCGACGTATTTGAGACGGAAAATCGTATTCATGGCAAATAAAATTTCGTCTTCGTGTGGCATACTGCTTAAATGAGTGACATTGGCAAAAGGCTGTGTGTCATTGGTCTGTTCATCGACATCTATTTAGAAGACAACCGACTCCAATTGAGGTAACCCTTTCCCCTCTCCACTGAAGGATACCGCCCTTCCTAACGATTCTGTTGTAGAAAAGAATGTATTGACTGAAATAAGTTTGTCTTTGCTATCTTTTAGGATTTCAAGCTCCGAAACAGATATTGTTTGACCTCGCCACAAAGTACCAGTAAATGGTCGATGAAGTTGCTTCAATTGATGATAAAGGTCCACAATAAAGAAGCGAAACTTGAAAATGATATCGATATTCTCTGTGCGAAAAGCTTTATTAAGTAGACGGTAAATGAATGAATCCCGTGTATACCAAGGAATACAACTGTCCGGTGTATAAGTTTGAAAGAACTCGTTGATTCTTGCGAGTTCGAGTTTATTACCGCGATAGGCTTGCTCGCATTCATTTTGCATATCAATCCGTGAACTTTCATTCGGTGGCATACGAAGAAGTATTTGGAGTAATAAATGAAACCACATGAAGCGCCTCTCTTCAATTTTAAGAGAACGTATGGATACCTCTTTACTGAGATCTGCACTAAACATACTCAACGGAGTCAAATTTTTTGCGTGCATTGACACATCTTGAACTAAAGCAGTCAACAGATCATTTGTTGTCGTACAGACAGCGCGAACTTTATCATACGACTTCGCCCAAACAGTATGCTTCCGCTGATTAATACAAAAAACATAAACGACCTCGAGTTGCCGTAATGCATGAACAGTTAGCACAAAAGATTCACCTAAATGACCGCAAACAATAAGAAAGATCTTTTCAGTTTTCGAAGATTCAATGAACGCGCGGCAATCTTGCACATCGTGAAATGTGCGGTTAAAGCTAATGATCGTTTCCAGCTGTGACTGGCGCTTGACTACTTCAGTTTGTGTTTCTTCAGTTGTCATCATTTTTGGGGTGCGCGTGTCCAACCATACCAGAACAAAATCTTCGATTCCTTTATCAAAACTATCAAATACACTGGCAGATTTGGAAGACATTAAGATGTGTTCAGTAACTTTCTTGATGAATGTGCTTGAGAAATTTTATGCAGGATGAAAGCGAATTCACATTGAAATACTCCGGTCTATTTCAGTTGTGCATTGCTGCCATGGACGACATCATACATGTTTTTGTTGTTCTGTTGTTTTTCGTTATTTCTGCACACGTGGCAACTACATTAAGTAAGAATAAAAAACAAAAAAGGCTTCTCAAACAATGTTGAGTTCAACTATCGTCAAATCGCCCGAAACTTCGAAACATGCAGCCATTGTTATGGAATATTCGAAAGGAGATGACTTTCAGTGATATGTATACTGAAAGCACGCCAATATTAGTAACAGTAACACTTGAACGCCTTATAATAAGCTTCAATAAATATTTTTATACATGTATGTAAGGATAGCACAAACAATGCTCTAGTTTTCTGTGATTTCGTAATATTTCAGCTAAGGGGTGTGGGTGTGGGTGTGTGCAGGTGTTGGGGTGGTTGGAGAAATGTACACGAACATCCACACCCACCCACACCCTCTTTAATTTTTTTAATAAATACTTACGATTGAATAGATGATTGGAACACATGTGGATTAAAAAAAGTATTTATCTGAACAAAGTCTTTTCTCGAACTTCTTGTTTAGAGCAGTCATCCTATTCCGCAATGTTGAATATTGCGGAATCAGTTCCATCTAATTCCGAAAACTTGATCATCATTCGGCATATTAGACCTACTCAACACCAATCGAGTTCCGCCAATTCCTGGAATGGCGGAAACTGATTCCCGACGGAATTAGAAGCAATTGCCAGTAATCCCTAGGAATTCCGTGTAATTCCGTATAATTCCGTCTTCACTGAATTCCCGGAATTCCGGAAATCGACGGAACCCGATCAATATCAATTAAGCCTGTTCTACAGAATCATGATCACGTTCCCGGAATTGCACGAAACTGATTTCGGGGCGGAACTGATTCCGAAATGTTCAACATCGCGGAATAGGATGTATTCTCCTTGTTTACATAAATCGAAATAAAAAAATTGTTTAATTCGGTTTAGATATACTTATGAATTAATATATCGTTGGAATGAACGGAAATGAAAAAATAATAAATTATTTATTCAAATAAATACTTATATGGAATTCGTATTAGATAGCAATATGAATTGTTTTTCTTTTCTTTTTGCACGTCATGTTCGTGTGTCACCTTTTCATTTCTCTCTTAGTGTTATGTGCCATCCTTTACGCCATATATGGATACAAGTAACGCTCGTCTACAGACTCGCTCAGCTCTTTCTCGTAGAAGGGCTGCTTTCAGATGTTAGATTTTCAATACGTTATTGTGTACAACTATTAATTATTTAATAACGAGTTATTTATTAATTCGTTAAAACTGATCTTAGATTAAGATTCCTGATTTTTCATTACCTTTTCGAGAAGTTTTACCGAAAACATTAATAATAAATGGTTATTTAAGAAAAAAATTAATAATAACGGGTTATGTATTAATTAACACCAATATCAAATTCGAATCCCCCTGATTACTCTTTGGTCAACTTTTACGACAAATATTAATAATTAATGAGTAGTTAATATTAAATTAATAATTAGTTAATAATTAATCTCGGATTCAAAATCCCCACTCCCGATTATCGTTTGGTCAAGTTTTACGGAAAAAAATCCCTTTTATCTTCACCTTATTTTTGGACCAATCACTGAAGTGCGGACATACAAGCAAGCAAACAATTTATTCTTGCAAGACTCTTTACGAGAAAGAGAATATTATATATATAATTTTTTCTTTCTGTTCTCTGTCCTTGACATACAATTAGATTAAAATATTATTTAAGCAAATAAATACATTACTCTGGAGCTTGTTGTAGAGAAGATCTAAATACAGAAATACTATTTAATTTTTCCGATAAATATTTATGATTATATACGTATATAACATGGCGATAAATTTGAACACGAAAAAGATTTTTATTCAAACGGATTGTTACCTGGATCTTATTATCGATACAACTCTATTTACAAACATATTGTTTAAGCTTTTATATCGACACTTACTTTTGAATATATCGTTGGGATGAACCTAAATGCAAATAAATACTTTATTTTTTCGAGTATCTAGAACTTGCTGTTAACATAAATCGAAAAAACCTATTGTTTAACATTATAAATTGATAATGGTGATTGAACTTGTTGTTGGGATAAGTACAAATAAAAAGAAATATAATGTAATATTTTTATTTCATACTTGTCGTGAGATCGGTGGTTGAGATAAATCTTAGTAGGCAATATAATTTAACTTTTTTAATAAATACTTACAACTGAACTTGATATCAAGAGAAATTCAATAAGAACAATAGTTATTTGTTAATTTATAATTACCATTAGATAGGATATGTGATTCAACACTAAGTCTTGATAGAGATGGACATCTGAGCTATCTGAGATATCGAAGTCAAGATTAGTACTCAAAAATATTTCTTTCAAAGCAAGAGCCAGAAAGAGTACTCTTAATCATGTACAGCACTGATCTATTATGAAGATACCATGTATAAAAAAAAACTACGTTTCTTTTTCTTGACTAATTATTCGAGCAAGTATTGTCCACGATGAAGCGTGGTACACAGTCATTTGTGAGAGGCACATTTGATACCACCGAACAGAGCTTGATAAAAGCTATAAATTGTTGTATAAAAGGATCAAACCAGTTAGTAAGGACTTCACATTAACAAATAAAAAAGACTTTGATAAACAAAATCGCAGAAGGAGCAACAATGACAATAAAGTGGATCGTAGAAGCATTCTATCGCTGTGTTTTAGGCTATATTGGATGAAACTCATAATGAGCTATTGCTCATATACTATCAAATAGTATCCAGACATAGATGTGACGTATTTTAACGATACAGTTTTATTACGGTACGCATACGAAGATATACGTAGTGATGTAAATGATCACTGGTGAATTATGAGATGCTGTACAGCATCCAGCATTTTACTTAGTATATGGTTCTACTCAACAACTTATAACTGTCTTCGTGAGAGATTGTTAGAAAACTGCCTAAAAACGATGTGTAAACGGTTCCAATTATGGAATCGTAAACTGAACTTCGTAAACAGCTCCGTAAACGTTCCGTAATTCATATGCAATCATGCAGTAAACGGATATTCGGAAACAAAAATCTACGGCTTACTGTGAATACACCGTTTTTTATTCGTTTACTGTCGTTTATGGACCGTCTTTTCTGACCTGGGAATCGGATAATTATTTGAATCGATATTGGTTTCATGAAGAACGAAACTCAACTCCATTAGGGTGTGGGTTCATTCCATTCATGTTGACGCCAACACTCACATCCACCTCCGCACCCACACCCACACCCATAAGAATTTACATTTTCATTCACCACAAGCAACAAGAAACCAAAATTTGATATGTATTAACAATGAATAAAACTACAATTTTTTCTCGTGAAACTATTGTCAATTTCAATATCTATTCGCAAATATTGCTTTGTTACAAATGCAAGTTGAAAATAAAGAACATAGTATAGTATGAATTCAAATGTATAAATATTTCTCTATATATTAACACATTGAACCCATTTTGAGCCACCGATGGCTAACTGCCAAAAAATTCAATATTTCTAGATTATTTTGACCAAATGATCTGGGTTTTTTTGCCGATGATGGAGAAATGGTTAAAGTTTGTATTTATAAGAGAAACGTCAATGAGCGTCGTGTTAAGGTCTATCATTAACTTCAAGAAGGAAAATTAGCCCTGTAAAATTTTCAAAAAAATACAACAGTATATGTATTCTAAAAGTAACTTTGGAGAAGTAAACTATTGTAATCTCAGCAAATTCTCACAAATTAAACTAATATTTGCTTCAAATTAGAGAGGAATATTTTTATTATAATATGTTTTAAATAAAACTAAAACTATTACAATTCAAAGTTGTCATGCATGTACATAGTTTTTTAAAACATGTGGAAAGTCATGTTCCTTTCTTGAGACCAAATGATAACATCTTAACCCGATGTTTATTAACGTTTCTCTTATAAATAAAAAAAATAAATATTCTTCTATCATCGACGAAAAAACTAGTTCATTTGGTTAGAACAAAGTGGAAATATTCGATTTTTTGACCATGAATCACCAGTAGTTCACATGGGGCTGGATGTATTAATTCTGTTTATTGATGACGTACTACTTGATGGTGTGGATGTGGGTGTGAGCTATAGATAGGTGTAGATGTTGGTAGTTGTTCTGTCATTTACTGATACCCACACCCACAGTCTATCAACTGATGTATAATTTATTGTGTTTTGTTTTCTGCTCGAGCTTTGCGTTAGGTGCACCTTACATAAACTTTGATGGTGTATAATGTCTCTTTAGATGATACTCAAAGAACTCTTTCATTATTCATCATTTTCTGTTGTTCAGTGATGTCAACAGATTCACATCATACATAAATAAGTATTGATGTGTGTAGTCTAGTTGAAATGTATTTCGTTTTAGCAAATATTTTTCTTTGTTTGCCGTCAGTGTTTGTCTGCTCTTAAAATTGTGTATTTTACTGTTGTCATGAGCAGCGCTTTTCAAGGCAGCTCTTGACTGACAGAAGGAAAAAAAGCACGAAAAAAAAGAAAAATGAGCAAAGCCTTCTGATGTTGCACAAGTAACATAAGAGTCCTTCGACAAACAAACGATGTATTTCACATACACAAAATTCAACTAACAAGGGAAGGTCCCCAAATGTTACGCTCCGTTTCGAATCTGGCATTGGCCATTTTGTAGAACTTAGTGAGTACAGCACGTAATTATAAAGGGTTCGTCCCCATAATGGACTTTTAATGAACTACGAGGTACCACAAAGGACGTCCTATAATGACTGAGGATAAATTGTTAATGGTGTTTTTCATACTTTTTCTCAATGTAGAAACCTGAAATTTTTATCACATATATATCTAACCAAGATCCTTTATTCCTGAGAGTTTCAGCTCTCTAGCTATAACTAGTAGTGAAATACATAGATGAGATTGAAACTCAAATTTTCGTACAATGAAAATAATTCAAAANCACACCCACACCCACACCCACACCCACACCCACACCCACACCCACACCCACACGCACACCCACACCCACACCCACACCCACACCCACACCCACCCACACCCACACCCACACCCAAAACAACTGCAACCAGACAAAAATTATATTGAACAATTAATTAATACATGGTCAAATAGAACATCTTTTTGTTTTTGTCTTTTTTCATGTGTGCACGTTGTACATAGTAAATGCATGTGTACCTTAACCTATGGTTTTTTTATTATATTTAATACTTGTAGCCGATTCTCATTGTCTGTTTTGCTAAAATTATAATAAATAACAAAAGAAAAGAAATAAACATAAGTTTATTAATTAAATTCATAAAAGCCGAACAAAATGAAAAGTTCCTATTTGATATTGTATAGATGCTTTTGATTTATTTGTTCAATCTACTTATGGTACTGATGTATAAGCCGATATAAGTGATAAAACAAAGAAAAAGAAACAATAGAGAAACTATTGCAATCGATGATCCTGAATATATGATTTTTCATTCATTAGAATTCTTTTTCAAAAATATTATTTCTTTTTCAGCATTTAATACAATTGTTCGTATATGTCTTACACAATTATTACTAGCAATCTATTGAATTCTTCATATAAAACTTGTTATAGCAAGTACATTAAAACCAGAAACAAGTTCAAACTAAAAATATACTGAAAATATGAAAAATGTCTGCGGCATTTTGCACAAATTTATCTTTCTTTTTGAAATTATTTTATATTCTTTTTTTTTCTTGATAAATTTAGCTCATATCGATGATTAATGTTTCAAGTAACATTCTTCTTTGACATGTTCGTTCTCATTCTATTTGTTATTGTGTTATTAACTACTCATCAAGCATTTGTTAAAGTAGATTCAAATAATGAAGAAAAATTCTTTTCTCAATATTTATTGTATTTTACGCATTAATTCATGTTTGATCAACATCATAAGATGGACGTAGCCGTGTTATTGCATTTATTTGTTGATTTCATTTAATAGGTGAACATCGAAATGAAATGAGCGGTGTTGTTTTACACGTAAAGATTTTCTTATTTATCAACTTAATTAAATATTTTATTTCAATAGAAAATATATTTGGATAATTTGAAAAATTGCAAACTTACATCCACAACAGTTCCATTAATTAATTTTATGCAAAGATAACCAGTTGAACTTTATTCACTTGATTCAACAGTTACTTATCAAGATGGTTTTGTTTTTCTTTGACAACTTAGTGTTCATTTATGAGCAACTGTTCCAAACAAAAACAATAAATAAATTTTTTTTTCAATCCAACTGAAGAAGGTATTCACTACTTAAAGTTGTTTCGAAACTTGAATATTGATTAGTCTACAGTCTGATCATTTGAAGGCTGATAATCAGCAGTACGCACTCATTCTTTACTAACTGTATTATCCTCAATCGATAAAAAGTAGATATATTCTCATTGTTATACATTCTAATTGATCTGTGATTGCGGCATTGAACTGCACAATTATTTTTTTCTACTGTATCGATAGTAAGAAATATAAAAATTATGTTTATGTTTATGTCATTGCCATTAGGTGTCAATCGTCGTCCTGATTAATCATTACTGTCGAATGGTTTATCTAGAGCAAGGTGCGATACGAAATTTTTTATAAAAACGAGAGACTGAGAATGATTTATGGAATGAATATTTATTTTTGAATTTATGTTCAACTGCTTTAACTTCATCTATAACGCCATTTAAAATGCAACAACAAACAACAAACAACAAATGTATCGATTAGGGTGGGTGTGGGTGTTGATTTCTTCTCTTCTCACACCCACACTCATACCCACCCACACCCTCTATCGAAGAATTTAAGAATTTGCAATCAATTTCAAAGCATTTTGAAAATAACATATCATCAAAATTTTTTTTTCTGAAAGAGTTTACGTTTTTATTCTACGGTTTTGTTTTACAGTGCAACAACAAATGAATTATTATTTGGACGAAAGAAGGTGTTGATTGAAGCGAGATTGACTGCAATCCATTCGATGTCTGCATTGATTCTGTCGATCAATAATTGAAAATACTGACGATATACAGTACCTGAATATAGAAACATAAATTTCCTGTGGGATGATAACATAAAAAGAAATATTTACCTTCATTAGTGATCGAACTAGCAAACGCTTTTAATTCATCTCGTTTTTGAACAGTAATAAATTGACTCGATACGGCTTCAATAATTCTGCTTAAACGTCCGAATGATGCTCCCCGTTTTGACAAAAGTTTCGACCAGTTGTCGCGAATCCAATTCCATACAACTTGATTAGCTCGCGGTGAACGAGCAATATTTGTAATGGATTGTATCACATATTGATCGCGAATGATTGAATCATTCTTCAAATGTTGTTCAAGAAAATAAACAATTAATGGTGGATCTTCTGTGCAAGCGAGTCCTTCGAGTAGATTCATTACCTCATTAGCAATCGATTCGTTTTGAAGCCGACTCCATAAAAAGTTAAAATCAGATCGTGAACCCCCTCTAATAATTGTACAATAGACAGGCGAACGAAGATTAGCCGGGATTTGATTAAGAGTAGGATTCAATTTCCAGTTACGATAAATACTTTGTGCTGCTTCAATACATTCTTGATAGCGATAGCGACAGACAATCGATAGGATACTTGGTTGCAATAGAGCTTGAAGCCAGTCGGTCAATTGATTGACAGGAGTCCATCCTATTTTGTTGTAGATTGGAAGAATCAATTCAAGAAAGTAGTTTTGTAGATCAAGAATAATATCTTGTTCGGCAAGTAATACTTCTTGTTGATTCATTGCTGAAAGTGCTACCGTCCATGGAACAAAATCAGTTTCGTTCTTTAGATATCGAATCAATGTGTATGGATCAGATGCATTAATTAAGGATGCTCGCGACAGAGCAAAGACATCATCGACAAGAGCACCTCGAGTAATTGTTGGAATGCATGTATGATCCATCTCAAGTTGGGCCATAATTAGCCAGAAATTTTGAGGATCATACTTCGTGCGATAGATACCTAGATAGTCCGGATTGGCCAAAATCCAGTCTGAATCTGATGCGGTAATTGTCAGCGTCTTTGATGTATCATTAAGCCATATAATTTCACTTGCATTCGATGACTGTAAACAGAAAAAATTCGGTCAAGTGCAAAAGTAATATGAAACGAATATTCTTTTTTTTTACCTGATTGAAAGTTCGATCAAAATATTTGAATGGAATCCACCATTTTTCTGATTTTGTCGTCGTTGATAAAAGACTGAAAGGCTGTTGACTAATCACCATATGACCACCTNCTTCTTGTTGATTCATTGCTGAAAGTGCTACCGTCCATGGAACAAAATCAGTTTCGTTCTTTAGATATCGAATCAATGTGTATGGATCAGATGCATTAATTAAGGATGCTCGCGACAGAGCAAAGACATCATCGACAAGAGCACCTCGAGTAATTGTTGGAATGCATGTATGATCCATCTCAAGTTGGGCCATAATTAGACAAAAATTTTGAGGATCATACTTCGTGCGATAGATACCTAGATAGTCCGGATTGGCCAAAATCCAGTCTGAATCCGATGAGGTAATTGTCAGCGTCTTTGATGTATCGTTAAGCCATATAATTTCACTTGCATTCGATGACTGTAAACAGAAAAAATTCAGTCAAGTGCAAAAGTAATATGAAACGAATATTCTTTTTTTTCTACCTGATTGAAAGTTCGATCAAAATATTTGAATGGAATCCACCATTTTTCTGATTTTGTTGTCGTTGATAAAAGACTGAAAGGCTGTTGACTAATCACCATATGACCACCTACCATTGGTTGTTCAGTCCTACTATAATTTCGATTAACTTCTACAAATGGATAGCCTGCCTGTCGTGTCCATCCAGTCATGATCCGTTCAATGTCGATTGTATGATTTGCAGCTTGATCTAAGTACTTCCATAGATCCTCTTGAGTTGTCGAACTATAACTCAATCCTTTCAAATACATTTGAATACCTTGTTGAAGAGTTTTATCTCCCAAAAACATTGACATCATACGGACGAGTGTCGCACCCTTGTAATAAGTAATTAAATCATACAATTGAGAGATGTCGGTCAGATTAGTTGCTTCGATACTAATCGGTCGTGGTGTTGGCAATGAATCGGACTTTATAAATTGGAAGATTTTTTCTATAAAAAATTGCTCCTCTAGCCTCCACGAAGGTTGAACAAAGTTGGATGCTAATGTTTCCATATAACTAGCAATACCTTCTTTCAACCACGTATGCGCAAAGAATTCAATGAGAAACAAAAGAAAGTAAGACTCACAGTTCACTCCACCAAGCAGGTGTAACTAAATCTCCAATCCATTGATGAGCTATTTCATGGGCTATCAATTCTGTTATGTATTGTTGTCTTGAACTCGATACTGTTTTCTCATCGAAAACCAAACCTAATTCATCATAGATCAATAAACCTAGAAAGAAATCAGTTCAATTATCGATTCAATTTCATTTCATCGTCTATTTTGACCGGAAAGAACTGTATTTACCATAGTTTTCCATGGCTTCTCCAGAAAAATCCGGAACAGCAAAATGTTCAATTTTTGGCAATGGATAATCAATGTCAAAGTATGTGTTGAAAAATTCCAATATTCTGTATGCTACTTCGTCGGCATAAGTTAATTGTGGCAGAATATCAATACGTCCACATACTCGTGATTTGATATTTTTTGAACTTATGATACGATCTGGGAGACAAGCAAAATCGGATCTTGGTGCTACGATGAGTGCTAGTAGATATGTGGACATTTTTAATGTCGGAGTGAAATGTGAAAGAGTTCGTCTATCGTCAAGCGATTCGGTTCTTTGAATTTCTCCGTTGGACCATACAGCATACGAAGGATCATGGACGACACTGATTTTAAAAATAGCCTTACGACCAGGTTCGTCAATACATGGAAGAACACCTCGAGCATTGGTGGCTTCCATGTGTGATGTCATAAACATGCGTCTCTTCCCATTGACATCGGTGTAATGACTCATGTAAAAGCTGTGGTGATCATGAATAATATCACCCGAATAAATAATGCGAAGTGTATAAGTGGTTCCTGATGTAAAGTTGGATGAAAATGTGAGTATCATAAGTTGATTAAAATTATCATAGGACCATGAGAGAAATATTGGCATAGAGCTAGAGGATGAATTGATGATTTTTAAACTTGAATTCTCAATGAGTAAATCTTGCATATGAAGAATCACTTGATCAGTGGGTTCGAGACAAGTAAAGGTATAAAAAAGATCGCCTAAAATGCGAGAAAAGATAGGATTGTTTTGTACCAGTGAACTGGCCCAATTCTATCTTTAAAACTCTCCTTACCTGAAAATTTTTCATTAGTAAAATTGGGTTTAATGGTCAGTTCNTGAGTAAATCTTGCATATGAAGAATCACTTGATCAGTGGGTTCGAGACAAGTAAAGGTATAAAAAAGATCACCTAAAATGCGAGAAAAGATAGGATTGTTTTGTACCAGTGAACTGGCCCAATTCTATCTTTAAAACTCTCCTTACCTGAAAATTTTTCATTAGTAAAATTGGGTTTAATGGTCAATTCATACAGCAATTGTTGCAAACTTTCTGGTATACGTTTGACAGATGGTGAAGAAGTACTAGTAGTTGTTACTTCATTCGATGTCGTTGTTACAATCTGACTAGCAGTAGTGGTTGACATCTGATCATTGACATTATTTCGAGTTTTTTGATTAACACCAAAATAGATAGTTAATACCAGTAGAACAATAAAAACGGCAGTAAATAAAAGCAACCCAAACCAAAACAGCTTTTTGGACACGTGATAAGTACTTGTTCGCGCAAGTTTTATATTCGAATTCTCGAGAATAAGATTTTGCATCATATGATAAATGGATGCTTTTTTGTATTTAGACCGAATAAAACTATAAAAATTGCATGAAATAATATATGATTATTTTCTATAAGGAACATTGTAGCAACTTACGTGTACTCTTACTTTATTTACAGCGCTTCTTTGTATATATGAGATAAATACTTACTATTATCGCTTTCAAAGGTTTTTTCGTTCTCTCCCTTTTAGTTTACTTGCTTCAAAGAGAATGAATGAATTTATTTTCTCTTTTGTACATGCACTAAATCTACCTCACTACTGAAAGAGCGCAATTATAGATAAAGTATCCATGTAAAATGAAACCAGAGTATCATTTATCAGTTGATCAAACTGGATGCACTCGTTTATAATGTAGTAATTCATATATTTTTTTCACTACACTTGTGATATAAAAAGAATTGAAGTAATGTACACAGTGTTTCAAAATTTTATCGATAAAATTTTTGTCAATTTGACTGTGAATCATCTATGGCATTTCAAATAATAATTATTCGATTTATACCGACCACAACTTGCATTCATGAAAAATAAAAAAATCCGTATAATAGGCACCAGATGACATTTCTTGTTGTATGATACATTGTCTCTATCACTTGAGGCTTAGATCTGTGCAATGCAAAAGCTGTTATTGCACCATTTACATATAATCATTTGTCTCCGAATTTTACAACGATATTTGTGCACTTCTATTGACTTACCCAGTGAAAAATATTCCGAAGAAAATCCAGATTATTTTTGATTAGCGACGGACAAATCCGATTTTTCAACCAAAACTTCTATCTTTTCTAGAAGAATCCGATTAAAATTGATTAAAATTCTATAATCGATTGTAAAATCAATCAACTCAATCAATTAGTTTTGATTCACCCAACTAAAATTGGATTTTAATCGGACAATCGATTTTAATCTGCTCAATCGATTGAAATCCCAATCATCAAAAATCGAATTGAAAGATTATCAATGGACTAGCTTAGATTAACGTAACTAAAATCAGATTTTAATCGGAGAATGAATTGTGAGTGTGTTATCGCCTTTGTGTAAAGTTTTTAGAGGCTCAAGTTTCTCAAGAAATGGAGAAGACATGTGACAAGAATAGTACTTGCCTTTCTTGTTTCCAAAAATATTGTGATTACGTAGTAATATTAGTGACTCAATAGGTAACATAAAATGCAGTTATAAGTTTTAAATTTATTTGAAAAGAATTATTTAAGATAAACAGTCATAGAATATATAAATGTCAGTCGGATCGTGAATAATTGATACTATATATACCTGATATTAAGATTTCGATGGCAAATTCTACAATTAGCATCACAATATTCTTTCAAATATCCTAAGTATCCTAAAATTCTAATCGCTATTGATAATGAAAGAGTTCCTGTAAGTGGCAAATTTTTCTATATATGTTACCTAATTTTTTTATTTTGCGTTCGTAAAAAATATTTTTACCAAATATTTATTATAATAAGCCCAAATATATATTAAAGCATACAGCGAGNAAGTGTAACGAAGTCTTTTGAAGTCTTTTGAAGACCCATGAAGTCATACGAAGTCTTATGAAGTCTTGCGAAGTCATTTGAAGTCCTATGACGTCTTCAGAAGTCTTTAGAAGTCTTCTGAAGTCTTGTGAAAATATGAAGTCACAGCGGCTGAAGTCTGTTGAAGTCTGTTGAAGTCTTTTGAAGTCTTGAAGTCTTGAAGTCCGCTGTTTCCCCCTTGACTTGAATTTCACAATAACGATTTGATCTATCGGAGTAAGTTGTTTAGTAGCAAAATATTTGTTTTTCTTCTAAAATAATTTACTATATTGCTTTGTGATTATCTCATAAATGTATCTGCAAGATGAGAGCCGCGTAATTTTGTTTGTTACATTGTTAAGCAAATTTTTATATGTATACAGGTATGGATAAGTAATCATACTTGATAATAAATGTCAGCTGATATCTTCTATTCAGTAAGCTATCTATTAATATAGAAATTCTCGCATTGTCTCATCTTAGATCGTGTTTGGGAATTTTTCCGAGTCTGTTTTGCGAAACATGATCTGAAATGAACGTTGAAGTATTTAGGGTAGAAATTTCGAACCCATTTTCTCTCCTCGCCCTTTCCCCCACAGACCGTGACAGGGAACTTCAATGACCAGTGGCGCCACTAGGATTTTTAAGTATGCTTAATCATGACTTTCGAGTACCGAATCCATATGACGGAAAGCTATCAAGAAAAAAACTTTCATTTGAAGTTTGCGATAAAAAAATAGCATTTTCCTGATCATCCATAGGAATTTTTTTTGCAGTTAGCAGTATTCTGGTTTTGAGAATTTCATCTAAAAATATGCAAACATTCAAGAGTTATAACTTTTTGAGATCTTTTAAAAATTTCTTCCAACATATAACTGAAATTCAGAATATCATAACTCCTGAACAGTTGCATATTCTTAGATGAAATTCTAAAAAGCAGGACACTACTAACAGCACAAAAAATTCCTGTAGGGCATCAAAAAGATGCTACTTTTTCTTCGCAAACTCCAAGTGTAGTTTTCTTTTGATTATACTCTACCATAAGGATCCCGTATTGGAAAGGCAATATTAAGCATACTGAAAAATTTTGATTGCGTTACTGTCAGAAACCCAGTGCAGACTGCTACTGAGAAATTGTATTTCAAAGTATGAAATACACGGTAAACTACGAATCTATCAAAAAGAAATGGAACAAAAAAATGTTCATTTGATTAGTAATAATAGACTCATCGTGTTTCCCATTTTTAATCCGGCAAGAAATTGCGCTAAAAGCTTTTTATATATGTTCATGTTCGTTCTTCTTGTCATCATAACCAAGATATTACTAAGAAATCGAATTTCATGCTCACTAAAACGTACAAATCTACATTGGTGACGAAACTATCTTTTGATAATATAAGAAATCTTTACTTTTTGTAAATTCGAAATGTTCATGCGCCAATAAACGTGGAAAATTTGTTGAAAAATATTTTTTTAATAGAAGTGTTCGTGAATAGTTAGCAAGTAGCTTTTTAATTTGATATACACTTCGTTCTTCAAAACAGAGTGTACAAGATGCTCGAAAAAACCAGTATATTTATACATTCTGTTTCAGATTCCTATTAAAAATACTCGTTTGGATCCAATGTTTCTCGAAAGGGTAATTAATATTTTAGTTAATAGAATAGCATCAATCTTAAATTGGACGCTAACATATATATATATATATATATATCATGTTAGGTCCTTTTTCCCCAGTTTCTTTATTCCGCCTTTCTTCACAAAAACAATAACTGAATCAATCAAAAACAAAAAGCAGCAAAGAATGTTCTTTCTCTCCTCTTCCAACGGTTGGTTCCATCTCCTAAATATGATACAGGGATAAAGATGGCCGTCTTATGTCAGGAGGGTGTAGGTGTTGGTGTGGGTGTGGGTGTGGGTGAGATAAAGACCCACACCACACCCATTACACCCCACACCCACACCCACCCAAACCCACACACCACACCCACACCCACACATCACACACATCCACACCCACACCCACCGCCACACCACACACCCACACACCACATCCACACCCACCCATACCCACAGCCACAGCCACACCCTACACCCACACCCACACTCATGCGTTTTACAGTTCTTATTTAAGTTGGAATTTCGACGCACCATTATGGCTTTTTGTTGCTGTTTGTTTTAATGAGTAATTTTCGTTGAAAAACTTTTTCTAAACTTGTTCTTTGCACTGTTGTCAATCGTATTCTTCTAAACTGTAGCACAAGGTTAAAATCATGTTGCTTTTAAAATGATTAATTTTAAATCATATCAATAGATCCAACGCTTATTTACATTCATTGTTTTATTAGTGAGTTTCTCAGAAAAGAAGTCTCCTAACGGTTTCTTCTATTCCATGCACCGTATTGATGTGAAAATTTTGCAATGACAATTTGAAATAAGTTGGGATGCTTTTGTCTCAGAAAAAACAGTGCTTTAGTGTATCAGAAATAAACTCTATCAAAGAATTTAAGAATTTGCAATCAATTTCAAAGCATTTTGAAATCATAAATCATGAAAAAATTTTTTTTCTGAAAGAGTTTACGTTTTTATTTTAGGGTTTTGTTTTATAGTGTCATAACAAATGAATTATTATTTGGACGAAAGAAGGTGTTAATTGAAGCAAGATTGGCTGTGATCCATTCGATATCTGCATTGATTCTGTCGATCAATAATTGAAAATACTGACGATATATAGTACCTGAATATAGAAACATAAATTTTTTGTGGGATGATAACATAAAATGAAATGTTTACCTTCATTAGTGATCGAATTAGCAAACGCTTTTAATTCATCTCGTTTTCGAACAGTAATAAATTGACTTGATACGGCTTCAATAATTCTGCTTAAACGTCCGAGTGATACTCCCCGTTTTGACAAAAGTTTTGACCAGTTGTCACGAATCCAATTCCATACAACTTGATTAGCTCGCGGTGAACGAGCAATATTTGTAATGGAGTGTATCACATATTGATCACGAATGATTGAATCATTCTTGAAATGTTGTTCAAGAAAATAAACAATTAATGGTGGATCTTCTGTGCAAGCGAGTCCTTCAAGTAGATTCATAACTTCATTAGCAATCGATTCGTTTTGAAGACGAGTCCATAAAAAGGTAAAATCAGATCGTGAACCTTCTCTAATAATTGTACAATAGACAGACGAACGAACATTAGCCGGGATTTGATTAAGAGTAGGATTCGATTTCCAGTTACGATAAATACTTTGTGCTGCTTCAATACATTCTTGATAGCGATAGCGACAGACAGTTGATAGGATATTTGGTTGTAATAGAGTCTGAAGCCAATCGGTCAATTGATTGACAGGAGTCCATCCTATTTTGTTGTAGATTGGAAGAATCAATTCAAGAAAATAGTTTTGTTGATCAAGAATAATATCTTGTTCGGCAAGTAATACTTCTTGTTGATTCATAGCTGAAAGTGCTATCGTCCATGGAACAAAATCAGTTTCGTTCTTTAGATATCGAATCAATGTGTATGGATCAGACGCATTAATTAAGGATGCTCGCGACAGAGCAAAGACATCATCGATAAGAGCACCTCGAGTAATTGTTGGAATGCATGTATGATTCATCTCAAGTTGGGCCATAATTAGACAGAAATTTTGAGCATCATACTTCGTGCGATAGATACCTAGATAGTCCAGATTGGCCAAAATCCAGTCTGAATCCGATGTGGTAATTGTTAGCGTCTTTGATGTATCATTAAGCCATATAATTTCACTTGCATTCGGTGACTGTAGACAGAAAAATTCAGTCAAGTGCGAAAGTAATATGAAACGAATATTCTTTTTTTACCTGATTGAAAGTTCGATCAAAATATTTGAATGGAATCCACCATTTTTCTGACTTTGTCGTCGTTGATAAAAGATTGAAAGGCTGTTGACTAATCACCATATGACCACCTACCATTGGTTGTTCAGTCCTGCTATAATTTCGATTAACTTCTAACAATGGATAGCCTGATTGTCGTGTCCATCCAGTCATGATCTGCTCAATATCGATTGTATGATTTGCAGCTTGATCTAAGTACTTCCATAGATCCTCTTGAGTCGCCGAACTATAACTCAATCCTTTCAAATACATTTGAATACCTTTTTGAAGAGTTTTATCTCCCAAAAACATTGACATCATACGGGTGAGCGTCGCACCTTTATAATAAGTAATTGAATCATACAATTGAGAGATGTCGGTCAGATTAGTTGCTTCGATACTAATCGGTCGTGATGTTGACAATGAATCGGGCTTTATAAATTGGAAGATTTTTTCTATAAAAAATTGCTCCTTTAGCATCCACGAAGGTTGAACAAAGTTGGATGCTAGTGTTTCCATATAACTAGCAATACCTTCTTTCAACCATCTATGCGCAAAGAATTCAATGAGAAACAAAAGAAAGTAAGACTCACAGTTCACTCCACCAAGCAGGTGTAACTAAATCTCCAACCCATTGATGAGCTACTTCATGAGCTATCAATTCTGTTATGTATTGTTGTCTTGAACTCGATACGGTTTTCTCATCGAAAATCAAACCTAATTCATCATAGATCAATAAACCTGGAAAGAAATCAATTCAATTATCGATTCAATTTCATTTCATCGTCTATTTTGACCAGGAAAAAATTGTATTTACCATAGTTTTCCATGGCTTCTCCAGAAAAATCCGGAACAGCAAAATGTTCAATTTTTGACAATGGATAATCAATGTCAAAGTATGTATTGAAAAATTCCAATATTCTGTATGCTACTTCGTCGGCATAGGTTAATTGTGGCAGAATATCAATACGTCCACATACTCGTGATTTGATATTTTTTGAATTTATGATACGATCTGGGAGACAAGCAAAATCGGATTTTGGTGCTACGATGAGTGCTAGTAGATATGTGGACATTTTTAATGTCGGAGTGAAATGTGAAAGAGTTCGTCCATCGTTAAGCGGTTCGGTTCTTTGAATTTCTCCATTGGACCATACAGCATATGAAGGATCATGGATGACACTGATTTTAAATATAGCCTTACGAGCAGGTTCGTCGATACATGGAAGAACACCTCGAGCACTAGTGGCTTCCATATGTGATGTCATAAATATGCGTCTCCTCCCTTTGACATCGGTGTAGTGACTCATGTACAAACTGTGGTGATCATGAATGATATCACCCGAATAAATAACACGAAGCGTATAGTTGGTTCCTGATGTAAAGTTGGACGAAAATGTGAATATCATAAGTTGATTAAATTGATCATAGGACCATGAGAGAAATATTGGCATAGAGCTAGACGATGAATTGATGATTTTTAAACTTGAATTTTCAATGAGTAAATCTTGCATATGAAGAATTACTTGATTAGTGGGTTCGAGACAAGTAAAGGTATAAAAAAGATCACCTAAAATGCGAAAAAAGATAGGATTGTTTTGTACCAGTGAACTGGCCCAATTCTATCTTTAAAACTCTCCTTACCTGAAAATTTTTCATTAGTAAAATTGGGTTTAATGGTCAATTCATACAGCAATTGTTGCAAATTTTCTGGTATACGTTTGACAGGTGGTGAGGAAGTACTAGTAGTTGTTACTTCATTCGATGTCGTTGTTACAATCTGACTAGCAGTAGTGGTTGACATCTGATCATTGACATTATTTCGAGTTTTTCGATTAACACCAAAATAGATAGTTAACACCAGTAGAACAATAATAACGGCAGTAAATAAAAGCAACCCAAACCAAAACAGCTTTTTGGACACGTGATAAGTACTTGTTCGCGCAAGTTTCATATTTGAATTGTCGAGAATAAGATTTTGCATCATATGATAAATGGATGCTTTTTAATATTTAGACCGAATAAAACTATAAAAATCGCATGAAATAATTTATGATTATTTTATATAAGGGGTATTGTGGCAACTTACGTATGCTCTTACTTTAATTACAGCGTTCCTTTGTATATATGAGATCAATACTTACTAATATCGCTTTCAAATGTTTTCTCGTTCTCTCCCTTTTAGTTTGCTTCCTTCAAAGAGAATGAATGAATTTTATTTGCTCTTTTGTACATGCACTCAATCTACCTCACCACTGAAGGAGCGCAATTATCGATAAAGTATCCATGTAAAATGAAACCAGAGTAGCATTTATCAGTTGATCAAACTGGATGCACTCGTATCTAATGTATTAATTCATATATTTTTTCACTACACTTGTGATATAAAAAGAATCAATGTAATGTACACACTGTTTCGAAATTTTATTGATAAGATTTTTGCCAATTTGACTGTGAATCATCTATATCATTTCAAATAATAATTATTCGATTTATATCTGCCACAACTTGCATTCGTGAAAAATAAAAAAATCCATATAATAGGCACCGCATGACATTTCTTGTTGTATGATATATTGTCTCTATCACTTGAGGCTTAGATCTGTGCAATACAAAAGCTGTTATTGCACCATTCACATATAATCATTTGTCTCCGAATTTTACAACGATATTTGTACACTTCTATTGACTTACTACTGCAAATGCATGACTAAAATAAATACGATTTTTCGATGATAAGAGAAATGAAAGACTATACAATGATTGATAAGTAGAAAGCTTTCGTTTTTTTTCTTCTAATTTCTTCAACAAAAAGAAGAAGAAGAACTGCAGTAATCAACATTACATTCTTCTTCAAAAAATGTCGTTATCAAAGTTTGAATCACCTCCGAATGAAATTCTCATAGATATTTTGCAGAAATATGTAAATGAAGTGGATATTCTCGTTAATTTTCTCGGTCAATTAAATAGTCGTTTCGATGCATTAATTGCTCAATGTCAATGGTTTCATTTCAATTTCAAGAAAATTCGAGCAACTGGCTGTCACATCTGCGTTGGTCTTCTGTCAGTATATTTTGATAAATGCGTTCTTTAACTTTATCCAAATGGCATACACCTGACGAAGTAAATATTTTTCTTTCATCGTTTCTGTCATTCAATCAGGGTGTGATTGTGAGTGTGGGTGTAGGTGTGAGTGTGTTACCCGTCTTCAATCACATTCCACACTCATACGCACACTCACACCCACGAAAATATTTCTTCTATTTTTATCACGTTAAGTCACTGCTGCAGCTCATCAGATTTAACCCTTTTGCATTTTCACGTTGAAACCATATAATTTAACATCGTTTATAAAGTAACTTTCTAGTGCAGTACCCATTCGGAAAGCCACTCGTGGCTAGTAGGTGCCACTTGTGACCTTATTCTATCCTGGCGTGGTTGATTTCACTTGAATCCTATTAAATGCCGAATCGCCGCTTCTTAAAAAAATCGTTAGATCTACGATCCAATGATTTCAGATGAGCTACTCCTAGTTAACACTTTTATTAGGGCTTCTCATTTAGCGTACCTTACTAGATTGTTGTTCATAAAATGTAGGTTTTGTGCCGTTATTTTGTTAAACTATATTAGAATACGTTTACAATAGTACCGACCACTCCCTTATCGACACCTCTCTTCAGCACTACTCACAATCTCTTGCTGCTTTTTTGAATACATTAAAACAATCATAAATTCTTCTGCATTTATTCTATAGGCTGTTACTTCACTTACAATATTCTTTTAATAACAGCAAACAAAGAGTTCATATGCTCAGGACGATATTCCATATTTCAAGCTTTTTTTTCTGAAATACCTTTCTCTCAAAAAAAATTCGCTTTTATCTTAGATAATAGTCCAGAGAAAAATGTATAATTTTTTTTCATTCAAATGAATACTTGAATTTTTGAACACCTCATTTCAGATTCAGATTCTTCGACCTCGATTTAGAATTTTTCGGATGTTTTTTTAATCTTGATGTTGTTTTAACCCCGGCAAACAAACAGACAAATGCATTTTGAGTTTTTTCTGTATCATCCTCCCTTCAACCGAGAGAATGAGAAACATCACTGTAATTAAAGTAAAACAAGAGTCTCATCAACCACTAAACAGATGTCGAAATTAAGAAAATTTTTGCCAAAATTGAAATTTTAAAAAAATTATGAATACTTTTCTAATTCGTTTATAGATGAAATAAAATGAATTTTTATGCAAAGCAAATATCAATTTCAAAACGAAGAGCAGAAAAATAAATAAGCCAATATAGTAAACATTTTTCTAAAAGAAATAAAATAGAAATGCAATAAAATAATTCTAATCTAAAAAAAATGATATCGCAATCAAAAGAATAGTAGATAAAATAGAGATTGATGCTAAAATGAAATATCGGAGTATTAAACAAAAAGTTAATAAAAAGTGAACGCTATTGTATGAAATTATAGAACAGAACAACACTCATATGACTGGGATAGGAAAAAAAAGACGGTATACTATCTTTTAATGGTAGAATCAAGATACAAATCGATTGATCTGATGTCTGATCAATCTAAGAATGGATTTATTCTATCGTATACAAAAAATTGAGTTTTTTGGACTTTATCATTAGAAAATGTGTTTTTCCAGGTCGGTATTATTCTTTAGCCTTAAGTAATATATAGCTCTTGCTAAATTGATTCTTCTCATAAATAGCTGCATTTCACTAAGAACCAAAATTTAATACTGAAATTGAAGTAGAAAAAGTAATTTTCTAACAATGAACCTTTAGAAAATTAATTTGCAGTAGACTATTTTCTAAATTCATTCTAAGATTCACAAGAGAGCGAATTGTCTTTAAGATTTTAACTCATCTTGTTTTTTTGCTTCATTTTTCCGTATAAATCATATACAGCAGAATCTAAATAAAAAATAAAATGCAATAATCTTTTGATAAACAAATAAACAATTTTTTGTGCAATTTTAAAATTGCTTTCAAAGAGAAAAAAACATAATTATATAATAGTATTTTGCATGAAGGTGTACTTGTTTATTGTAGTGGCCATCGTCTTAACTAAAACAATAACAATTCATGGAATACACACTTGCCGTATAGTCAGAATCATCGAACTTAAAAAGAGTACCATCATATATACACCTATACATATAGAGAGATACTTTTTACCGACAATATGCTAACGTCAGTTCAAGTAAATGCGGTACATTGGCATATTTCTAAAGTAAATTAAATATAAAAACACGAATATGCAAATAACGTGAAACTTACTTTCGCATTTACAAATCATAATCGTCAAACTTCGTCTCATGCTGAATAATGTGTGTAAAATCATGGCATCAATCAGTGAACAGGCGTGCTTAAAGTGTAACGGCGTATTTTGCACTTATTCTTCAAATAACATACTGAGATATAAAATGAAATAACTTTAAATTTAAAAAGCAACATAAAAATAAAATTCTAAAATCAATTAATGATCATTTTATAATGAAGGAAAATGAAATCAAATTATAAAAGAAGATAAATTTTGTTTCTAAATAAGAAAATAGTTCCCGAATCCATAATATTCGGTTTTGATTTTTAAATAAAGTTGAATTCTCAAATAAGAAAAATAAAGAAAAATTTTAAAAACTGTTGAAACATAGAAAGAAAGTAAAAAAGAAATGTATTCTGGAAAACAGAATAAAAGTAACGATTATTGCAAGAAAATCGTAAAATAATAATAAAAATAAAACATTCGACAATGAAAATGAATGATATAGATGTTTGGGTGTGGATGTAGGCGTGGGGGTGTGGACCGTGGGTGTGGGTGGGGTGTGGGGATGTGAGTTGTGGGTATCTCAAACGTATTGAAACATCCCCACTCACACCTACCTCCACACCCCACATCGACACCCACACTCACACCTACCTCCACACCGACACCCACACTCACACCCACACCCATACCCACATCCACATCCACATCCAAGGAAGGGTCGAAAAATAGCTTATTGCATACGCACGCAATCTCGATGCGTGTTCATTCAATTTGGTTCATCGTTTTTTCATGTGAAATAGCATGTCAGAATGCAGTGCTTCTGAGGGCCGTTTTTCTTAAATTCTTATCTTTAATAAGAAAAGAAGGCTTCACAAATTCAATCACTCAAGAATTCCTCAAAAAATCATGCTTATATTATAAAGTCGTTTTTCAATATAATAATAAGAAAGCTTTATCAAAAAACGGATCCTCAGAGACACTGCATCCTGATATACTCTTTGAAACAAAAAAAAATTTGACTGTATATCGGACAATAACTGACTTTCAGTGCGTATGCATAATTCGACTACAACTTTAAGAAACAAAGAAAAAAAAATTTGAATCTTTTCAAAAGTCGCTGGTTTTCCGAATAGGGGTTGTCAAAAATCTTTAAAATTTTTGGGAAAAAAGGAGGTACCGAGGAAAAATTTTTATCGCTTATAGAAGGGCAAGTGACAGGCTATACCCCTATATATTTATCTCAATTTCCCTGATTCTGACGAAAAGTGACTTTTTTAAGAGGAGAGGGGGGGGGGGGGGGGGGGTACTACCGGCAGCGGATGGAGTATAAGTCCGCAGTCTAGTGGTTCGCTGATTGGTCCTTTCTTCCTGCGGG